ATTGTGAGCTTGCTAATTTCTGATTGTTACTTCTGTATATACAATCTTAAGCATGTATATACAAGGTGGCATATTGTAAGCATACAAAACAACACGCCAATGCAGCCCTATATAGACTACATAGTCCACGCAGAAGGTTACACAACAAAGACGCGCGAACATAAAGTACCAATCTATCTATCGATCCTGCCTTAAAAAAACAAATCTATCCATCGATCCAATCAAACCCCTGTCCAACCGAACCGTTACAGCAGCGCGTAGATCATGCGGGCGCGGCGAAGCACGCTGAACTACCTAGTTAAATACACGTCTCCTAGATTTCAGTCGTCTGATCTCGCAGGCGTTGGGTTTTGTTGCTGAATGCTTAAAGAAGAACAGAGCACATGACTGCGGTTACTTTGCTGCTGAGTGCTTAAAGAAGGAAGAATAGGGCACATGACTACGGCTAGGAGACAGTCTGACAGTAGAAAAAAACAGACTCCTGTTTAATAACACTTCCTAATTAAATAAGGGGAAAATAACACTACTTACTACAATTACCTTTTTTACCACCGTGCTACCATTTGTACCGTCAAAAACTGTTATACATCCGTCCACCTTGTGGAAATTGTAGAAATTACTAACGGAGACGAAGCCTCCTTAGGTAGAACCCATGGCGCGTCACAAATGTAACAAATACGCTCCCTAACCCGGCATCCTAGCGTTCATCGCCGTTGATGGTATACAAATTATTTTCTTAATGCTTAAGACCGGGCTTTTGCCTTCTGCACTGTCATCAACCTTTTTTTCTTAATAAAGTCACCTTGATGTTGATTGTTCAATGTGTAAGGTCGATCTTTACCTCTGCACCCCCCCCCACACACACACACAACAATCCACGCACCCAAAACTCACCAACCCAAACCCAGCTACCCAAGAATTAAGCGCAAACTCTAATGGGCGACGGGTCACGCACCCCTTAGCCCGTGGGCTCGACGTAACTTCATGGCCTGTGCCTTCCTCCTCCGCCCTGTTTCCGGAGACGAGCTCGCTAGCATTAGGGTTTTGAGATTAGGGGCTTGGGTTTCTGGTGGTGGGCTTCATGGCTGGTGGCCTTAGAAGGGGAGGGCTTGGCGGCAACAGTTGGTCCAACGGGGGTGGCAGTTCGACCGACGGTGAGCGAGGCGGTATGGGCGCCGCCGAGCGGGCGGTGCTGGACATCCAGTTGGTCTGAGCCGACGGCGAAGGCGACGGGTCAAAGCTTGCCCTTCGATTGGGATTAGCGGAGGGCGGGTGGGCCAGCGAGGGTGGTATATGGCGGGTGGCTCGACCGGTGACAAGCTAGGGAGCCGATGGCCGGGGTGGCGGATGAGGAAGGCGAGGGTGGGACAAGCGAGGCACGAGAAAGACAACAGGGCTGAGCGCGAGAAAGACGACGGGGTCAGGGTTGTGCTCTTCCATAGAGCGCGACGGGTTGCGTTAAAGCGCTCTAGAATTAAGATGAAGGATCTAGATGGAAGGATTCACTACCGGAAACCGGCACTTTGTCGAGTGCCGGAGGCTTTGCCGAGTGTATTTTATCGAGCACTCGGCAAAGACGGTCTTTGCCAAGTGTCAAATAAAATACACTCGGCAAAAAAAACACTCGACAAAATGCGTCTTTGCCGAGTGCCTTTTTTCTGGCACTCGGCAAGGCACACGACAAAATGCGTCTTTGCCGAGTGCCTTTTTTCTGGCACTCGGCAAAGATGTATTTTGCCGAGTGCCTTTGTTTTGGCACTCGGCAAAGAGGCATTTTGCCGTGTGTATTTTTTTGGCCTCGACAAATCAGTTTTTCAAAGCAATTTTTGAGGCCCTAAATGAATTCAAATGAAAAACTTTTCAACTATAAAGTTGTATAAATTCTTAAGATCTACAAAGTTTATTTTAGTCATTTCTTCATTTGACAAAGCGACAATAATATTATTCATAAAATCTAAATCTCTCTCATATTAGTTTCATGAAAGTAGAAGAGATATATATAAGATTTGTGAACAATATTACTACCACTATATCGGATGAACAAATGACCAAAATAAACTTTGTACATCTTGAGAAGTTATGAAATTTTGTAGTTGGCAACATTTTGATTTGAAATCTTCTCATGCAAAAACGACGTTTGAATTTGAAAATTTTAAAATTTGAATTTTTCAAAAGACTTCAGATGGAAAAACTTCCTAAATAAAAATTGTAGATCTCCAAAAGTTATGAAACTATGTAGTTGACAACTTTTTGATTTGAAATCATCTTATCATGCAAAACTACGTTTGAATCTCTCAAATTTGAAATTCGAATTTTTCAAACGACCTCGGATGGAAAAAAAAACTTCCTAAATGAAAATTGTAGATCTCGAAAAGTTATGAAACTTTGTAGTTAACCACTTTTTGATTTGAATTCGTTTAGGGCCTCAAACAAGTAATTTACTCTCGGTTTAGTATAATATATGAGGATAGATAACGAATCTAGACACAAGTGAAAGTGTAGTGCAGTGGTAGAGCAACAGACATGCGAGGGAGAGGTCGTGAGTTCGAATCCCACCAGCCGCGTTAGCCGCGAATTTTGCGTAAAAAATACAACGACTTAGATGGAGATGGGCAGGCACTCGGCCGGTGGCGTTAGCCGTGAATTTTGTGCAAAAAATACAGCGACTTAGATGGAGCGAGGCAGGCACCGGCCGGTGGCGGCCTCCCCCGAAAAAAAATTGCTATTATTTTTGGGTTTTTCGTATTTTTATTTTGCCAAGTGTAAATCTTTGCCGAGTGCTTTTCCGGCACTCGGTGTCCGACAAAAAGCACTCGGCAAATAGCTGTTTGTCGACAAAAAAATGCCGTGTATATTGTATGTCGAGTGTTACACTCGACAAAGCAGTTGCCGAGTGTTCTTGGGCCATTGCCGAGTATCCCTGCACTCGGCGAAACGACTGTATCCCGTAGTCATTACCTGGAGTCATGAAAATTGTATTCTTTGATTAGGTCAACGGGAGTCGATAGGGGAAAGAGAATCCCTGTGACTATATATTCATTATTATTGGAGTGCTGCACAACAGGGCACGCGACGGGTTGCGTTAAAGCAGAATTAAGATGAAGAATCTAGATTGAGGGATTACCTGGACTCCTGGAGTCCTAAAAACCGTGTTCTATTAAGTCAATGGGAGTAGGCAGGGGAGAGAGAATCCCATGTGACTATACTCATTATTATTGGAGTGCTGCTGAGCCATAAAATAAACAGATACAGTGAGGGTTCAGTGGGTTTTAGTTAAATCAAAGGTAAATGTGTTGCATAGCTAAGAAAACAGATCGAGCACCAATGCAAGGTCACTTACTATCGGGGGATGCCACGAGCATGAGTCAACGTGTTTCTGTTCATCTTCGTCCGTATTCCCTTGCGGTAAAAAAAACATTTATCTCGTCCGGCATCAAGGTCAGAGTCAACGGACCTGCTCAGCTTTTACCAGCAGGTTCTTCCGTCTCCTCCGGAGGACGAGGACAGAACCGACGGAGCAGGTCGGCAGAAAAAGGTCCGCGCCCTGGTGCCGCCTTTCGCAGTTCATCTCCGTTAAAACAGTACGCGGAAGGCACGCGTACCGCACGTCGGCGTCGATCTTCTCGGCCCAGCTCGAGCTGACAAAAGGCGCCGCGGACACCGGCGAGGGGAGAGCCCGAGACACGGAGGAGGGGCTGAGCGAGGGCTAGAAGAGGCGCGCGAAGAACTTCCCTTGTCGGCGGGATCCAGTCCGGCTCACCCGATCTGACTCTCCCTGTCTCCCACAGAGGTAAAGAAGCTACACGAGTTGCTCGTAGTCTCTTGATGCCAAATCAAATCTCCTTTGCAAGCTCTACCGGTGCTGCTTCGGTCTATGCATGTACTGGAGAACTGAAGTAATCTTTTTTTTTCCTTTTCTGGATTGGATAAGGAATTAGCTGGCCTCGAGTGAATACTGAACCGTAATGCATCTGCTCCCGTCTGTTCTTTATCATCCAACGTTGCTTCAATAGTTGAAATTCATCTCACTCCAATGTTTCCATCTTCATCCCAGAAGCAATTCTTGCTCGATTCATGGACTCTTTTTCTTTTTCCTAAGCTACAGCTTCACTCCAAGTAGAGTACCAGAGATCCGATCTCAACGAATGAGGATAGTGACTGGGCCATGGGAATTTAACCGAGAAAGAAAGGGACAGGTAGAGATAACGGGGATAGGTTGCCCTTCGGGTGCCTAAAAAGGGCCAACAAAATGGCATACCAAGTCAGGCTGCCACGCTTTGCCTATGAATTGGCCTTCGCACAGTCCCTTCTGTTTTACCTCACCTTAAATTGTTGATGATAGGTGGAAAACGGTATAATATTTCATCATGCTTCATTGCTGCTGTTCAATTTGGGTTCATGGTATCTCAATTTCAAATAGGCTTGGTCATTTGTACAACCTGTTTATATGTAGTATATGTCTCGCTGATAATCTGCATATCCCCAAATATATTCCTTCTGAATTACCTGTCATTTTATATGTCAGTACACACTCAGTTCCCTTAATTTCAAGTACTTGAACGTGATTGCATCATTGCAGCAGATCCAGGTTAAACTGATGGCTGACAACAGCATTGAGCAAGCATTGATAGAGGATCCTCCTAATGTGCTGAAAAGGAAACCGCCAGAAGGAGCTAAACGGTTTCGACGATGCAGGTCAACCCCCCTCAGATCCCACCGATCAGAAACCTGCAGAAAACAGATCTGTGCTTAAAGCCAAGGAGTTATTCACGGAGATAAGGCCGAGCTTCAGGCTTGTAGGCCTCCTCCTTTTTGCCTACCTGCTAGTGGGTGTCATCATCTTTTACCTATTCATGGATCAGTTATCTGGGAAGACCACTGATAGAGTGCTTGACGCCTTGTACTTCGTTATTGTCACAATGACCTCGGTTGGCTATGGGGATCTTTTCCCAAACAGTGACACAACAAAGCTGCTTGCTTGCGCTTTCGTCTTCACAGGTATGGCGATCATTGCTCTCTTCATCAGCAAAGCGGCAGATTACCTTGTTGAGAAACAGGAGGTGTTGTTCTTCAAAGCACTGCACATGAATATGAAGGGCAGTGAGGCCAAAATGCTCAGGGCAATGGAAACAAATAAGATAAAGTACAAATTCTACACTGTCGCTCTGCTTCTGGCGATGGTTATTGCTGCTGGGACTGTATTTCTGTGGAAGGTTGAGAAGCTGAGCCTTGTTGATTCCTTTTACTGTGTCTGTGCCACGATCACTACCCTGGGTTATGGGGATAAAAGCTTCTCGTCCAAATTGGGGCGCGTTTTTGCAGTATTTTGGATAACCACGAGTACTATCATCATGGCTCAATTCTTCCTGTACCTTGCTGAGCTCTACACCGAGCGACGGCAGAAAATGCTGGCCAAATGGGTCCTCATCAGGAGGATAACAACCATGGATCTTGAGGCAGCTGATCTAGATGGCAACCAACAAGTTGTGTAAGTGCATAACTTATAACTCATCTCAGCACCCATCTTCCATATTAGTAATTTTTTTCTCTGAAGTGTTTGGTATCAATGATGCTGATATCTGGAAGTTGATGTGTACAGTGCTGCTGAATTTGTACTTTACAAGCTAAAAGAGCTGGGCAAGATCAGCCAAGAGGAGATATCTTGTTTTCTTGAGGAGTTCAACCAGCTTGATGTTGACCAGTCTGGCACACTCTCGACTTACGACCTTAATCTGGCACAAACCAGCCAATGACTGATGGTGCAAATGTGATTTTGCTGATTGAATGGTTTTGGTTGATGTTGTAGCATTTTTGTTGTCCATATGTAACTCAGTAATCTTGTAAAAATGCAAATGAGACGATTGAGAAATTATATCCCACTTTTTCTCCAAAGCAACTTGAATGAAGGCTGTAAGGAAAGTTTATCCGAGCTTGCACACAGAGACAGCATACCTGCCCATTTATTAAGTTGGTTTAGCTCTGCCCCTCTCATTGCCGTGTTTCCAGCATATGATGCGAAAATTGTTATGTAGCAGTGAATTGTGGTGGATACTTTTAGACTTGTTACCATTGGCTCTGCATCGGTCGGCAAGCAACAAATCTGATGCCCGGAGATCATTCAGGAACTCAGGGATAGATGCAGAAATTAGCTCAGATCCCATGGGATAGAGCATCTATAGTTGCAGAACATTAAGCAAGATTGCCATCACAAGGCTGACTTTTTCTGAGAAAACGTAAGCACTTCTATTCAAATAGTTGTATCTGAACTCTTACAGTGATTTAACTTCCAATAACACGAAATACAACCTAAAAGATACATTTGTTCAGATGATCAGCCATGAAACTGCTATACTAAACTAAAGTCAGGCAACATAAGGACATAACTCTAGTCAAACAAAAGAAGATCATATTAAGACACATCCTGGACGGGTACAAGTATGTCCAATCTTATATCTTATAAATGCATGCCTTGTTTGATCTTCTGGGGAATGTATTCATCCGATAAAAAGGAAATGGAATTTGCAGATAGTGCCTCAATCTCAAACTTAACACCCTTTTGCAACATTGCTTCCAACTCTGACCTGTCAAATGTGAGAATACATGTGAAATTCAGGAAGAAAAAACTAAGAGAACAAAATAACTCAAAATTCTTGATACGTAAATGATGCATTTAATAATATCTTAAAAGTATGAAGTGCTTGCAACTATTTTGCCGTTACTGGTTAAAACAGGAAGCTATACAGTTATTGAAGCTAAAGATCTGGTGCTGAAGAAACTCTCCAGACACTAAATCATAAGAATGATGACTGTAAATCAGATTTCATGAAAACTCTAGCCTAACCAATACTGAGATTGAGATCCCTAACCAAAAGACAGTTCTAATACACATTGAGCTTGAACTGGAGGTCACAGTGATATCATGGAGGATGTATACTTGTAATACACCTTGTAAAACTCCAAAGCTGGTTCATTATTCATTACCTCCATTCTGGGGCTTCCCTGTGTAAATAGCACCTAGCAAGAATACCTTCAGCTTTCCTCCTATCTGTGCAGCAGAAAACATGATTTCACAGGTTGGCATTTGACATACAACAAGAAAGTAAGGAACTTCTTCCCAAAAAAAAGGAGTACATATGACACTTGAATCACTCCAGCTTATTCACCTTCAGGTAACAAATGAAGTAGGCAGCAGTCTGGAAGGCAATATTCTTCAAAATCAGATGTGAAGACTCCAAGCCACCGTATATCAGGCACACGCAACAAGTTTGCATCATGTGCCAATTGCTTGAAGAATGAAATTGTGCAAGGAAGTAGCAGAGGTTGGTAAGTTAAAACAAGTAAATATGCCATAGTCTTGGGTTTCAAAGAGCAAAAAGAAATATTAAAGGCCATGCTTGACAATAAAAATAGGACAAAATTTCATGAATAAGATAAGCAAAATGGGCATAATTTTTTTTTTTAGAAAACAGGAACCGTTCTAACACATAGCTTTTTTTTTAGAAAACAGGAACCATTCTAACACATAGCCTTACTGCTAACAGGACTTCATAAAGTAATAGAACTTTCAAGAGCAAAGAGGCCAGGCAAGCGGGTGAATTAGGACGAAAGGTGCAGTATATGATCATGTCCATGAATTCGTTAACTGTAATTTTAACCTGCGAATCTGCTAAGAAAGTTAAGTTCATAAGAGCAATAGATGAGCATAGCAGCATTAGATAAATCATGCCTACCAAGGAACCAAATTTATAGGTAGCCAGAATGTCAAAACCATAAGGATCTGAGTCCACTAGGCAATAAGCAGGCAGATGCAGCTGTTCAACAAGGTACCGCAGGAATCTAGGATGGAAAAAAGAATGTAAAATTGGGATAGAGGTTGAGAAATATGCAAGAGGAACTTAATGAATAAAGAGCACATGCCTTCTTGTTGGAATATCTGGGTAGCCTCTTCCCTGAGTTGACAATGCAATATCATGAAACTAGAAAGAAACATTATGAGAATTGATAACACTGGGTGAGAGTTGCTACTTACTGTAATAACAATGCAGCGATTTCTTTCACAAAACTTGTCATTGGCCAGACGCTGGAACACTGCAAAGGGAGTAAAGGACTACTGAGGTATATTGTACAAAGAGCAAAAAGTTATTAAATGCAAACAGAAAATTTTAAAGACCTGTCTCCTTCTCAACCACAAGTATGTAGTGAGCAACACTAACAACATCTGCAAGAGAAAAGAAAGAATAAGACAACTTCAGCTCACTGCAATGCAATTTGGGGTATCAAGGTAGGAAATCAAAGTTTGCATAACACAAAAGGAAGCATGTGCATAATTACGGGAATACTAAGGAGACTCAAGGTCATACTTATTCAAGACCAAACATGATATAGATTGTTAATTGTATTGATAGCCAAGCTTTGCTGTAGAGTTGTAGGCATGTCAAAATCCAACTTGCTAAACAACCATAAAAAAAAAGGGCGTACCCAGTGCAGAGAGCTCCCGCTCTGTGCAGGGTCTGGGGAAGGGTGTTAGTGGCAAGCCTTACCTTGCGCTGCAATGTGAGGAGACCGCGACTCGAACCCGGGACCTTCCGGTCACAGGCGGTAAGACTCTACCACTTGCACCAGGCCCGCCCTTCAACTTGCTAAACAACCATATGATAACTAAATTACAAAATTTAATTGGGAATAAATTGCAGAAAGATAAAAGGTACTCCCGCCGTTTCAAACTATTGTTCACTTTAGCTTTGTCCTAAGTCAAACTTCTCTAACTTTGATCAAGTTTTTAGAAAAAATATATTATCATCTACAAGTTCAATAAATGCATTATCAAAATATATTTCATGGAGAATTTAATGGAACTAGTTTGATATTCTAGATATTGGTGCATTTTTCTATAAACTTGATCAGAGTTAGAGAGGTTTGACTTGGGACAAAGCTAAAGTGAAGTAGTAAACTATAACTTGGAACATAGAGTAGCTAGTTAATTAAGAATGTATGAATCTGAATTTCTTTGAAAAAAGGAAACATTAAATTGAAGATCTATGGTACCATTTAAGGGCAAATTGATCAGAGTGACTTTGCCCAGTGTGCTTTAAAAAATCAAGGAAAGAGTTAATTTTTCAGTATCCCCTCCCAAACATTTCCCAATAGCACAAAGGGAGTTGTGTTCTTAAAGTTGCTGGAAAAACCTTTGATTGCCTCAATATCAACAGGGATGGAGAAAGCCTGAATATACAGAAGGTAAAAGCAAACCAATTAAATGGAATCTTATAAATAACCCACTTAGCAAAAATTAGAGGCGGAGAACATAAAAGCTTACAGCATTGACGTTTGTTATACAGTACACTTTCTTTTCGCCCTCCACAAATCTTATCCAGCCCATCACCAGACTAGGATAATGAAGGGTATAGACATGTGCACACAGGTAAAAATGAATAAAAATAAACAAATAGTTCTATGAAGATAACATTGCAAACCTAGTAAAAACTGTGAAAGTAACAGCAAAAGTGTAATAGGAAAATCATATAGAATATCTAAATTCCTATCGTGAATTGTGAACACTTCTGCTATATGGAAGTTTTTTTGTATTCAGATAAATCAAAGACAACTCTTCATGAATCCAGACATGTCCCATGTCATAAAATATCTCAAATTTGTGAACTGACACTGGGAAGGACAACAGATCCATCATGGCTTCATTTCTTCCCCCTCTTCATATGCATAAATCTAGACAACTAAGACTACATTGAAAGAACGGTATCCCAGGTTCCCAACCCCACTAGTTCAAACACATCCAGATCATCTTTCTTTATGTAATGGAGACAACCACACGGGATGATTAAGGAACAAAAGGAAAACTGATTGGTTTAAGTTATAAAAAATGATGCGTCATAAAATAATAGAAGAATAAAAACCAAACATATCTTCAAAGCTTCAACTCTAGAGCAGAGTTCATACCCTTTCACTACAGGAACCTGCAGCGAGCCAAGGGAGCACAATATTCAGTCAGCTAAGGCCAATGAAATTATGACATTATACATCATGTAATAGTCATGGTGCTGCATATTAGTGAAGGATCAAATATCATCGATGGCACAAGTCCTCTCTACAATACACAACGGAAGCTTCTGGAAAGACAGCAGACTAATGGCACCTACGGACCTACCACATTGAGATTGTGCCGACTGCACTTGAAGAGTATGCAGATATCGTTGATGGCACGGTCAACAACTGCTACTTCTGCAGTGAGCCAAGATACATGCAAATTCTAGTAATCACTTATAATGGAAAGAGGAGCAAACATTGCAGCTAGTGATCACAGACCTACGAAGATGGAGGGGTACATGTAGTAGATGTCCCTCTTGGAGCAGTGCTTGTTCTGCTGCAGGAGCTGCTGCACCACGAGCAGCACCCTCAGGAGCACATCTACGCATGAACAACGCATCAGAAAGAAATTAGTGTGATCACATACACGTAAAGATTTAGATGTATTCATACTGAGGCGGGAGGTGTGGTAGTCCTTGTGGAGCAGGGAGAGGACGTCCGTGCCGACGGGGACGTCGTAGCTGCAGGCACTGCAATCACGCACGAGCGCGCGGCCAGGGATGTGACACATTTTGGTGAACATTGCTCCAGAGATGTTATGGTGAGGAAGGAGATGGTCTCGGGAGCGGGGCGGAAGCCAAACCATGGGCACGGGGACGCAGAGTCGGCGGAGGAGCAGTAGTTCCGGTACCGGTGGAGCACTATGGACGGGGAGCGGCCGGCAGCAACCTCTTCGACGACCCAGCGCACAAGCCCTGCGCCGTGCCCCAACCACGCGTCAGCTCCAGACGCTACAGGAGTGAGGGAAGTTTTAAGGGCAGGCAATCGAGAAGATGGGTAACGGAACCTTTGATCCTGCGGAGGAGGAGCGCCGCCTCCTCCTGCCTCCGCCGCAACTGCTGCTCGTCGTCTTCGAGCGGCGCCGCTCGCCGCCTCTTGTCCCTCCCCGCCATGGCGCTAGTCGATCGTGAAGGAACAGAGTTGGGCTTAGTGGGCTCCGTTCGACTGCTTGGGCCTTCAAGAGCCCAACAACGAAGCCACCCTTCAAGAGGCGTGACACAACAAGGTTACCTTAAATTCCCCTAAAAAAATAAAGGTTACCTCAAATTTCAGTAAAGCTCCTGTCACGATGTCCGTCCGTCGGACGGGCACCTCGCGCTGTGCGCCTCCCGCCTTGCGCTCCTGCACCTCACCACTCACACTTTCCTAAAGAAAAAAACTTGGGCCTTGCATGGTCGCACCAAACCCGTCTCGCGTCGCGTGTGTCCCACGCCATGCACCTCGTGCCACGCACCCTGCCCGTACCTCGCGCCGTCCACACTTCGCGCTGCGCTCCCCGCGCCGCATCAACTAACCTCCATTGGACAGCAGCAAGTAGATGATCACATGTTGTAACCGTATGTTTAATGCGTCTCAGATGTATATTGCATATGTTTTATTTGAATATTACAAAAGTAGATCTGATGTTGTATATGTTGCAAAGGCTATACACGTATGTTGCAAGTGTATGTTCCAAATATTTCAACTGGTTCAAACGTATGTTGCAAGTGTTTTATATAGATATTGCACATGTTGCAGTGGTTATACATGTATGTTGCAAATATATGTTCCAAATGTTTCACCTATCTCAGACCTATGTTACAAGTGTTTCATCTGAATGATGCATATATTTTGGAACATATGTTACAAGCACATCTATTCAAAATGTTTCATCTGACGTATGTTGCAAATGTGTTTATCCGAAAAAATGTAGTTGCTATACACATATGTTTCAAATGTATGTTTGTAAATGTTTCTCCTGTTTCAGACGTATGTTGCAGAAGTGCTTTCATGTTGCAACATTAGAAGGCGTAGGAAATGGGCGCATGCAGATGCAATCCCCTCGGGCGTAGCGGTCCCCACCTGCATGTGCATCAGCAGGCATGAGGCGGGCATCAGCAAGCACGAGGTGGGCATCAGCAAGCACGAGGCGACAACTGCATGCGTAGGCGCACTGGCATGCAGGGGCGGGTTTGCAGGCGCAGCAGTTGCATGCGAGACGTGCACGCGCAGAGTTGCATGCGGGGCAGGCTTTTTTTTTTGGAAAAGGCGAGGCGGGCGGGACGGGCGCAGCAGGCGGGGTGGGCGTGAGCGTTCGGACACGTCCTAGCGCCAGACGCCCTCGAGCGCCGGTTGTTCCGCTTAAATTTTGCTACAATGTATATCTATATATGCACTATAGATGTGTATAGTTTAAATTTTTTTAAGACTCCTAAGTATGTTTTTCTAAAGGGTTTTCACGATTCCATCGAATCTGAGGGTTTGCAATATTTTCCTATGGATAGATTGTACATTTGCACTTCTTTTTTTGCGAGAACCACAATTGATAACTTTGTAGAGAGAGAGACGGAGAGAGAGAGAGAGAGATTAAACTGCGCTGAATGCTGATGTACTTGAAAGAGGATTAATCCTGAGTTTATTAGGGACGTCCTTTGTCGACATATATCAGTACTATATACGGAGTAGTTTTAAAGCTGTTGGACAGTTGCACCCCCACCTCGCGTTCATATAGCTGTGTGATATTGAAGTATTCTACTCTCTTTTTTCGCGATCGGGCATTGTACCCGTTTTTCATTGAGAGGGAATGATTTAAACAACAACAGAGTGCTTGGCGTCAGTGGCGAGAGGCCAACGAACGCACAGCGCAAACACCTAGCTACCGGATCCTTTGTATTCTACTCTTTTATTTACTTATACTATAACAAATAGCAGCGCACGTCAGCGGACAGCGGTTATCTTCTCCTCCACACTCATAAGTTAATTAAGAAAAGGTGACAACGCGAGTGATTATTAGAGCTAGAGGGGACAGAAACAGCCGAGCTGGGAGAGCAAGAACCGACGCTCTCGACTCAGCCAATCCAGCTTCGATTGATCCGACGTTCCCGAGTCAGCCAAAGGCCCAAGGTAACGAAGATCACGGAACGCCTCCAGTCTCTCAATATCTTTTCATTCTTGTTTGATTGATTGACAACTAATCAACCTCCTTTCTAAGCACGCCGGAGTACTTTCTCGGTATATCCGATATCCGTAGACCGAAATGCTTCCCCTCCTATCGCTGTTCGGTTCCCGTCTTGTATCGCTCTTGACCATCTCCATCCTTGCTCGATCGAGTAGCTGAACTCCGTCCCACTCAAACTTTCCTGCTCGCTCCAATGGATTTTTTTTTAAACTTGATTCGCAGCAACCTATCGAATGGATATAGATTGGCAGGGGAATTTCACCGAGAAGGAAGAGACGGGTAGTCAGTTAGAGAGATAAGGGGACGCTCAAAGGTCCAGTAGTAAAACTTTGGACAGGCTGCCTGCTCTTGCCTATGAACCGAATTGGCCTTCACACAGCCCATTTTGTTTTGCCTCACCGTACCTCGATCTATAGAGGACACAGCCCATTTCAGTTTGGATTCGTGACGTCATCTCTATTTCAGAATGGCTTTGTCATCTTGATCTTGGCGATCCGTGCAACTTTGTTATATGTTCGTACTAGCGTAGCATGTCTCTGAATCTTTAATTTGGTCTCTGAAGGTAACTGCAGCAGATAAACGCTAAGCTGATGACTGACAACAGTATTCAGGAAGCATTACTGTCTGATCCTCCTAATGTGCTGGCAAGCCAGACATCAGAAGGAGCCATACAGTTTCAACGACGCAGGTTACGTCTGTCCTCTGATAAAAAAAACCCACAGAACCTGCTGGTCCTCTGATAAAAAAAAACTACAGAAGAAAGGGCCAAACTTCAGGCTTGTAGGCCTCATCCTCTTTGTCTACCTTCTAGCGGGTGTCATCATTTTCTACCTTGTCATGGATCAGATGTCTGGAATGAGAACTAACAGAGTGCTCGACGCCTTGTACTTAGTTATCGTCACAATGACCTCGGTTGGCTGTGGGGATCTCGTCCCCAACAGCGACACAACAAAGCTGCTTGCTTGTGCTTTCGTCTTCACCGGCATGGCGATTGTTGGTGTCTTCATCAGCAAATTGGCAGACTACCTTGTGGAGAAGCAGGAGGTGTTCTTCAAAGCACCGCAAGGTGAAGCCAAAATGCTCAGCGCTGTCGATACCAACAAGATAAAATACAAGTTCTGCACGGTTGCTCTACTTCTTGTGATGGATGTCATTGCTGGGACTGTTCCTGTGGAAGGTTGAAAAACTGAGCCTCGTTGATTCCTTCTACTGTGTCTTTTATGGGGATAAAAGCTTCCCGTCCAAGTTCGGCCGTGTTTTTGCCATATGTTGGATAATCACGAGCACTGTCATCACGGCTCAGTTTTTCCACTTGGGGAGTACTACATTGAGAGACGGCAGAAAATGCTGATCAAATGGGTGCTCACCAGGAGGATGACAACCATGGATCTTGAGCAAGCTGATCTGGATGGTGATCGACAAGTTGGGTATGTTAAACAATTAGGCATTTTTATGGTTAATTTAATCCAAAATAAAATATCAGCAGATTTGTGACGATATATATGTGTATATGTATATCACTAACAAACGATATAGCATGCAAGTATGACAAACTGATCGATACAGTAGGTACGCAAAGTACGGTAATCACATAGTTAAGAATGTACCCAGCGGAGAGTCCCATGCCGAGGGCATCGGAGGCTCCATTCGCACCAGACATAGTGCGTTGCTTGAAGTCGTAGACCACAGTCGATGCAGGAAGGTGTTTACAGTGCAGTCCCATGAACAGTCACCATGAAGAAGACACCTTGCTGTTCCGCGAGCGATCACCAGAAAGAAGACGTCGGACGAGTAGTCGCGGAATCGCTCCCCAAAAACCTAATCGTCGCACACCCCGTGCAAGGTTCACAGGCGGACGGGGTTTCAGAGGCACCTGCTCTCCCGCTGCTCCGTGCGCGTAGAGGTACGGGACGGAGAAAGCCAAAGGGCGACTGAGACGTGGTCTCTCGAAAGTGAAGAGGAGATTGGACTGACGGAGGACTTCTACTTCTATGCCCAGAGCTAGCGGAGGAACTCAGGAGACGAAGACACGAAGAGACGGTAATAATCAACTCGTCTCCACCATAAAGGAGAGAAACTCCCGTAATTATGTAGATTAAGTGGCAAAACCTGGTCACGCCCGCCCGTCCTCCCGTAATTATGTGGATTAAGAGTCAACTCGTGTCATTTTCTTAGCTTCTCAATTAAGATAGATAATTTTCAACCAAATAAGTTGAGTCAATGTTCAGTCAAAATCCTGTACGGTATTAAACCATACAACGCTTAATGTTATGGACCATAGAGTTTTATTTAATTTATTAAGTATTATATGGGCCAAGCCCATAATATATCCAACAATCCCACCAAACTTTAGGGTTTGTAACAAAGTAGTCTCAGAATCATATTTCTTTTACGTACCAGTGTTTCGATAGAGACCGTTAAGTTGAACATCCATTTAGAATAATAGTTTTATTCAGTCACAACTGAACAATGGACTAAGCCTTGAATTGACAGTTTTGTATGAGGTGAATGTCACTAAAGTCCTTAGCTGATACTAGGCTGCAAAAGGCATCCTCTCTATTTGAAGCATATAAGTCATACTCCAGTGCCTTTCATGAGTATTTATAGATCACCCAAATCTTATAGACTGTGACCAACAGTCTAACTCATATATGTGTGTTCCTCAGAATATGTTCTATAGGACAACATCTTTGCTTTAGCAAGCCACTTAGAACACATTAAGGTAAAAAAACAACCTGTCTTACAGAAAGGAAAGATATACATCAGAAATGAGTCTTACTAAGGATATTTTCTCATAATTTACTACTAGCTTGTTTCACCATCCTACTTCACGGGATCTCCGATCACATAGAACAGATTACCACTATAGTAAATTTTATGTGGGTCTCAAACACATCTCTCTCGATGCACTTTCTATCACATTGTGTGACAAACCCTTAGTGAATTGATCTACCA